TTTTTTGTCATCTTTCTTTCCACTGTGTCAAACTTGAGTACAATTTGTGAAACTAACCTCAGGTGAATTAATTAGTAACCTTTTGAGATGTTGCAATCCTTAACAGAACAGTGGTGAATCCTGTCCCTGGAGATCATCAGAGATACACATGTGAACAGAACGGACCGAAGCTTCAGTGGAAAAACCTGTATTAGAATCGAATGCTACAGACATGGAGGGGTCCAGTGACAAGCTTTTCTGCTGCAGGTGGGTGCGCCACAGGGTTCCCCTGGCCCACAGAGAGGAACTGTACCACATCCTGAGGATGACAGGGCCTCTGGTAAGGACTGGCTCCATTTACATACCCTGCTCTGTGAGGTTGAGGCTGTCATTAATAATAAATTAAATTTGATTTATAAAACAGGAGATTGATGAAAGTGTGTTTTTTGAAATGTCAGGAAAAATTGAGTTTGTGCCTGAGTTATAGAAGCAGAAATCAGTCATATCAGATCAGCGTTTGCAAGACATTTGATTTTGAATAATTTCTGAACAGTGGCTGCAACGTGCCAAAGTGACAACGACCTCGTTTACAAAGATCATGCTAGCTTGTGTTTACTGTAATTTATCATTTATTACCTGTTACCTGGTAGCTGTATCACCATGGTTGATGTTTGTCTTTATGTAGCTGCTGTCTCGAATCCTCAATTACCTGCTTCCATTTGTGGTTACGATGTTCTGTGGGCGTCTGGGAAACGAAGTGATGGCTGGCTATGGATTAGCTTCTGCTGTAAGTGCTCATCTGTATGTTCTACAGACTTGTGGAGGCTAACATGATGAAATGACAGGTGGAGATGTAATTTTATGGGAGAAAATTGAATATTACAACTGTAAACTCACATTCCCATAATAGCTTTTACAATTATCTCAAAAACCTGATGGTTTAATCAATATCTAGTACATTTACTCCTATGAGTCATAGAAATATTGGTTACATCAGAGTCCTCGAGCGTACATTAGACTCATTCAAGTATGTTTCATATTTATTTCAGACCATTAATGTTACCACTGCAGCAACAGGTTGTGGTCTGGGACTGGCATGTGATACTTTGGTATCTCAGGTTTGAAAAACCCTTTTCATTACGCAATTTTACCCTGACCCTCAACTTCACTGACTCCAGATCCCAACTGTAACTGTATTCCTCTCCTTTCTAAAATGATTAACATTTCTTTTGCTGTTGTGCAGACATTTGGTGGTAGGAACCTGCTGCGGGTGGGAGTGATCCTTCAGCGGGGCATCATCATCCTGCTGTTGTTCTGTCTGCCCTGCTGGGGCCTCCTCATTAATGCTCAGGCCATCCTGTTATGCCTGGGCCAGGACCCTGAGGTGACCAGGTAACTAACAGCAGCAAACGTGCATGTAAAACTCAGTGCCTCTGTCCGTGAATGGAATTCAGTAAGAACTTTTCCTCCTGTCGACTTTAACAAACACCACCTCTGCATTTGAATCATTTCTAGTCTCCTCAGAGTCACTGAACAGATTCCACATTAACTGCAAATCTGTATTCCAAGTATTGATCAAATGACCTCTACCAATTCTGTGTAAAGTCTATATTACTATAAGAAAGTACACTCACACTTGCCACTATTCTAGCATTACACTTCTTCAGGGTTGCTAAGTCTATTTACAATAACTTCTTAATATTATTTTTCCTGAAAGGCAAATTTTTCTTGCCATGAATAATTTGTTTGGCAGTCGAAATAAATGAGTTTGAACTTATCACATTAAACTATTATACATACAACTTTGGTTCTGAATACAGCTTCTTGATTTCAGAATAGCCCAGCTGTATATCACATCCTTTCTTCCAGCTGTCCCAGTGAGTTGTGACTTTTCTCTCACCTTTATCTGGAAATGCAACACATTTTCAGTGATGTATGTACGTAGAAACTATTTTCCCATAAACCTTAATGCCACAAGTTTTTAATCTGTATTTGTCTTTTAGGCAATGTTTTTACACCAGCTTCAGGTGACTTATCTGCAGAACCAGGTGCACACAAGTCCTTTACATCAAAACATGTTGTCTTTATTAATGTAATTACATTTCTGTTGGGAAAGGTTTAAGTAGCAGTATTAACATCATCTGGTTTTTGTGTACTCAGGGTATAATACTGCCACAAATGTACACTGCTGCCATGGCAAACATAGCAAATGTGCTAACAAACTACATCTTTCTTTACTGGCTGGATCTGGGTGTTAGGTAGGTATACCCCCAATTCTCAGTATAGCATTTTAAATCTGAATAAAACAATTCTACACACTGATATCAACGTGTCTGTGTGCATGTCTTACAGTGGGTCTGCAGCAGCCAATACTCTGTCTCAGATTTACATCTGTGCTTTTCTGTTTGCTTACATTTGGTGGAAGAGGCTCCATGTAACGACATGGGGAGGTGAGGAATTTCATATTCATGGATTCCCTATGCTTTCATGAATCATTCTGTTCATACATCTTTTTCAGACAACATAAGTAAGTTTCTCTCTCCCCCTGCAGGCTGGTCTATAGAATCACTGCAGGAGTGGGGCTCCTACATGAAACTGGCCATTCCCAGTACATTAATGACTTGTTTCGAGTGGTGGGTTTATGAGTTTGGGGGATTCTTTGCAGGTAATACAAATGTTTTCATAGTCACACTGAGCCCATTTGTATATGATGAGCAGGACATCTCTAGGCTTATTGATTTGATCAAACTAGCATGTGAGACTTTGAGTCACGGCTGTTTTTTTCTTCTTTGTCTCTGCTGATCAGGAATGCTGAGTGAAGATGAGCTGGCAGCCCAACATGCTGTGATAATGGTGGCTTTCATAACCTACATGGTACTAACTAGTTAGAGCTTCACATTATCACATTAAAACTCTTCTCTTTTTTGTTTGTTTGTTCATATTTATTTTATTTGTAACAAAATAAAAGAAAGAACAACATTAAAATGAAATGAACGATAAGCCTGTACACAATCTCAATAAATATATCCTGATAAACAATAAGAAATTAAATCTTACATGTTCAAAAAAGAAGTAAGGGGAAGTATACACTTATTTATTTTCACCCCATCTTTGTGACTTATCAAATAAATAATAAATAAATAATCCCATATATTTGTATATTATATATTCTCTGATCTCAGGTTTAGATTTCTTAAAAAATAAATTTCACAAATTAAAGTTGTGGTTTAGCTTTTGAACACTCTCAGGAGAAGCTCTTTTGTGTATTAGTGTGCATGCTTTGTGATTCCTGAATGTATTTTTTTCATACTTTCTAAAATGATCAATCCATAGTTCCCTCTTGGTATTCAAGCTGCAGCATGTGCCCGTGTGGGAAATGCTCTCGGTGCAGGAGACACTGCCAGGGCGATCCTCACCAGCAAGATGTCACTCGCTCTTGCAGGTCAGTTAGGAACATGTTCTGTTGTTGTAGCCTGTATCAGTGAATGCACATCCAGTGTTGAATTCCTTCAACATTTTCTACTATTTGGAGAGTTCACCCCTCCTCTTTTCCAGGTAGCTTTGCAGTTGTTGAAGGTATTGTGCTTGGATCCACTAAAACAGTGATTGGCTATATCTTCACCTCTGATGAGTGAGTCTCTACAGCTGCACTCACGTTATATAATGCTATAATTATTAGAATACAACTGCTCAAAGACGCCATCTTAATTATCATTTCAGGAAGATCATAGGTCTGGTTTCCCATTTGATGAATGCTTACTGTTTCCTTCAGTTCTTTGATGGTCTTGTGGTGAGTGTACCAGCCTGTCTTGTGTGCAGAGCAAAATCTATTTGCAGTATGATGTAAAAAGGACTTCACGTATGTCAAATAAGAAACTTGTTTTTCTCCATCCTAGTGTGTATGCACGGGCATCTTCTTGGGCACAGGCAAACAGAAGATACCAGCTGTGGCTAATCTCATTGGATACTACTGCATAGGACTCTCACTCAGCGTTACTTTAATGTTTGTCGCAAAACTGAGAATTTTAGGTGACTGCACAAAGTGACCATGTTGTGATACTTTCATGGACGTTTGAGACAAATAAATGGCTGTACAGGAACAGCAGGTTATCATAAGTGAAGCCTACTGTGCCATTGACAGACTAGTTTATCTTTGTTTCTGCAGGCTTTTGGCTGGGACTGCTCATTTGTGTCGTCTTACAGTCCACCTTCTATATCATTGTCATCATCTTCAAGCTCAACTGGAAGAGAATGACAGAGGAGGTATGCTACCCACTAATCTAACAATCAGGATCATGCAGGGCCCCAGCTGTTTACATGTACTGACAGAATTTGTCTTATTTTAACAGCTGAGATAAATCTGGCAAACTTCAATGACTGTTTGTTAAGTGTATGAATAAGGAAAATCGGCATTTAAGTTTTTTTATTGGTTTGTTTGCAGGCTGTAAAACGAGCTCAGAAAAAGACACAGATGACATTATTAGGCACAGCTGACCAGACAGCAAATAATGGGAGTGTAAGTGGTCTGTTATTCTTAACACTAACAACCTAAATTGATTTTCATAGCTTTTTTCACACGGTTATCAATGGACCTTTCTAGTTTGCTTTGTATGCAATGTTTTCTATTGGAAAATTAAGTCAAACATACCAACTTTTCATTTAAGTTTTACCTCACTTGCTCTCCTTATGACTTAAATATAAAATATGATGTTTTTCCGCTTGAAGTCAGTGGACGGCTACACATCTGTGAGCACCGACTGCCATGGTGGGACCACGGAGACACAGAGTGGAAATGTGGTCCAGCAGCTGAAGGGTGGCCCTCTCTCCATCACCCAGCTGATCCTCAGACGGGGCCTCACTATGTTTGCAGCAGTTGCTCTTCTGGTCGTGGGAGCAAGTGTGCACTTCCTCGTGCCCTTGCCACAGACCCTGCCTTCAGAGGCCAACTTTACTTTGGACTGGATCAATAGTACTGATAAAATTTTCTCCACTGTGCTTGTAGAAGTGTCTGGGTAACCTTGAGAGCTCTGATCATAAAATCATTGTTTGTGCTCAATGCCAGAAAAACATTTTTAGACAATTTTAGACTCTTGTGACAGAAAGTGGCAAAACAGAGGCAGGTTTGATTATAAAAATGAAGTAAATTAATGGTTGGAGTAATATTTTGTGTTTAGAGGTTAATTCATTGTTTGATAAATTCCCCACTTGTAATTAAAAAGACAGCATTGGTGTTGTAGAAAGACCAAAGACAAAGTGAACCACTTGAAGACAAGGCAGGGTGCCAATTATTTGTCCTTGTAATACTATATTCATGCATGTCCAATTCACATATTTAACGTCAATGTCTCCATGTAATAAATCTATTATACAATTGCTATCCACTCTACTTTTTTTGAAGTCTCTTTAACTTTAACGCTTTCTTTGAGATTTAAGTTCTATTGATAATATATAACCTTAATATATTGTACTGACACTATCATCACTCTTTGAACTGAGACAGTCTGTTATTATTTCTGACCAATAAGTTGGAGGTTAGACAATTCCAAAATATGTGAAAGGCTCCGAAGGGATAAATGATTACATCGTCTCGAACAATGCCCGTAGTCTGGTTTGACATTCTGTTAATGTATTGTCTTTCGAGTGATGAAAAACCTGATGATGTTCTTCCAGCAGAATTATCTCTTTATTGACCTAGATTGAACTAGAGGTAGTGAATTGTGTTTTACATGTTTAACCAGTGAAGATCAAAACACTTACTGTTTCCAAAGTCCTTCATCCTAGTCTTTGTTGTTATTGCAGGCCTTTTTCTTGTTTTTACAGTCTGCCTTGTTTGAGCTGGCCTTGGCTCAGTTCCAGGGCAGCTGTGACCACAGCGAGATTTCCATCCTCTCGAACATCCTGGAGAGCAACTAAGATAAGCTCATGAGAGAAAAGACTGACACTTCAAGAGAGGGACCTGAATTGGTATCTCATCCTGCGGACATGGAGGGGTTCAGTGACAAGGTTTTCTTCTGCAGGTGGGTGCGCCACAGGGTTCCCCTGGCCCACAGAGAGGAACTGTACCACATCCTGAGGATGACAGGGCCTCTGGTAAGGACCGGCTCTGTTTACATACCCTGCTCTGTCTGAAAGGGACTGTGAGGATTGAGGCTGTCCCCGCTGAAAAGCTGACTTATACAACAGAAGATTGATGACCGTCTTTCTTTGCCAAAGAAAAGGTTAAGATGTCAGGAAAACAGACTTTGGTCTCTGAGACTTAGAAGCAGAAATCAATAGACCTATAACAATGTTTGGCAGGTTTCAAACAGTGGCTGAACGGTGGCTGCAACCTGGCAAAGTCATGACAGTGTGGTAGCTTATTTGCAAAGACATAGGCTGAGTGCTAATTAATTGCAACTTGTGTTTACTGTAATATACAATATATTACCTGTTACCTGGTAGCTGTATCAACTGCCCCATACATTGATGTTTGTCTTTCTGCAGCTGCTGTCTCGAATCCTCAATTACCTGCTTCCATTTGTGGTTACAATGTTCTGTGGGCGTCTGGGAAATAAGGTGATGGCTGGCTATGGATTAGCTTCTGCTGTAAGTGCTCATCTGTATGTTCTACAGACTTGTGGAGGCTAACATGATGAAATGACAGGTGGAAATGTAATTTTATGGGAGAAAATTTAATATTACAACTGTAAACTCACCTTCCCATAATAGCTTTTACAATTCTCTCAAAAACCTGATGGTTTAATCAATATCTAGTACATTTACTCCTATGAGTCATAGAAATATTGGTTACATCAGAGTCCTCGAGCGTAAATCAGACTCATTCAAGTATGTTTCATATTTATTTCAGACCATTAATGTTACCACTGCAGCAACAGGGTATGGTCTGGGACTGGCATGTGATACTTTGGTATCTCAGGTGTGGAAAACCCTTTTGATATAATCATATAATACACTTGAATTTTGTATTGACCCCTACTGTTTATCACTGCCCTCTTTTCTAAATGTTAATTATGTTGTGCAGACATTTGGTGGTAGGAACCTGCTGCGGGTGGGAATGATCCTTCAGCGGGGCATCATCATCCTGCTGTTGTTCTGTCTGCCCTGCTGGGGCCTCCTCATTAATGCTCAGGCCATCCTGTTATGCCTGGGCCAGGACCCTGAGGTGACCAGGTAACTAACAGCAGCAAATGTGCATGTAAAACTCAGTGCCTCTGTCCGTGAATGGAATTCAGTGAGAACTTTTCCTCCTGTCGACTTTAACAAACACCACCTCTGCATTTGAATCATTTCTAGTCTCCTCAGAGTCACTGAACAGATTCAGCATAGAATATGTATTCCAAGTATTGATCAATCAATACCAATTGTATGAAGTTGATATCACAGTTTAATTGTTCTAATCCTGCTTCCACATTCTTGAAAGTAGTCTCAGTTTCGACATACTGTGCCTTAGTTTTAAAATCCAATACAAGCCATGAAAAAAATTAATCTTTAGCTCGCTTCTCACTAACGTTGTTTAGGTTCTGGGCAAGTAGAGTATAGTGGGATTAACAGAGTTAATGTAAACACAGCTGCTTGCTGCTGCTGCTGCATGGTGCATGGTGCATGGTTGACCATAGATAAATGGTCAACCATGCAATGGTTTAATGGTTGTAAAACCAGAACAATGAGCTAAAAAAAAAACAACTAAAAAGGTCTATAGAGCTGCAGAGCTGGGTAACAATTCTTTGTGAGTTCTTCACTATGAGCAAATTCATGTAACTCAGTCATTTGTTTCAATTTTATTAAAAATAATAATTTATTAATACAGCTTAAACTTGATAGTTTCTCATTAAATAGGGCAATTCCATACTTCCGGCTTGTTGGTCTTTAATTTAACTGAATACAGCATCTTGATTTCAGAATAGCCCAGCTGTATATCACAGGCTTCATTCCTGCAGTACCAGTGAGTCGATACTTTTCTCTCACCTTTAAGTGAAAATTCAGCACGTCATCAATTATTATTTTGTGTTTTTTCTGTGCAATTGGCTGTTAAATAAAATTATAAACCCTTTTTAAAACAATCTTTCTCTATAGGCAATGTTTCTACATCATCTTCAGGTGTCTTACCTGCAGAATCAGGTGTGTTGCTGTCCAATTGTCTGTCTTGATCCCATTCTGTAATATCTTCTTTTAGTGTATGCAAATGTTGTAAATCTTATTAAAGCTAATTTAATTACTGATGGGAAAGGTTTAAGTGGCTGTAATAACATTGTGTGGTTTTTGTGTACTCAGGGTATAATACTGCCACAAATGTACACTGCTGCCATGGCAAACATAGCAAATGTGCTAACAAACTACATCTTTCTTTACTGGCTGGATCTGGGTGTTAGGTAGGTTGATTCACAATTCTCAGTATAGCATTTTAAATCTGAATAAAACAATTCTACACACTGATATCAATGTGTCTGTGTGCCTGTCTTACAGTGGTTCTGCAGCAGCCAATACTCTGTCTCAGATTTACATCTGTGCTTTTCTGTTTGCTTACATTTGGTGGAAGAGGCTCCATGTAACAACATGGGGAGGTGAGGGGCAGTTATATTTAGTATATATCTGTGGGGACCTTATGATCTCATGGACCACTTTGTTCATACTTCACATTTTTCTCTCAACATAAGTAAGTTTCTCTCTCCCCCTGCAGGCTGGTCTATAGAATCACTGCAGGAGTGGGGCTCCTACATGAAACTGGCCATTCCCAGTACATTAATGAAGTGCTTTGAGTGGTGGGTTTATGAGTTCGGTGGATTCTTTGCAGGTAATCGAAATATTAGATATCAGTAAGCCATTTATTTTATTATCTAACCATAAACAATTTTTTGAGTCATGACTGTTTCTTCTTTGTCTCTGCTGATCAGGAATGCTGAGTGAAGATGAGCTGGCAGCCCAACATGCTGTGATAATGGTGGCCTTCATAACCTACATGGTACTAACTACACGTCTGAGTGTTACATTCTCACTTTCTCTTATTTGAACTCAGGAGCCAACTCTTTTTCATACTTTTTCTGAAATACTGAATCCATAGTTCCCTCTTGGTATTCAAGCTGCAGCATGTGCACGCGTGGGAAATGCTCTCGGTGCAGGAGACACTGCCAGGGCGATCCTCAGCAGCAAGGTATCCCTTACTCTTGCAGGTCAGTTAGGATTGTTTTCCAATATTGTAGTTTACATGAATTGTGCTTCTGTTTCTCTAGTATTTGAAGAGTTCACAGCTCCTCTTTTCCAGGTAGCTTTGCAGTTGTTGAAGGTACTGTTCTTGGCTCTACTAAAACAGTGATTGGCTTTATCTTCACCTCTGATGAGTGAGTCCAAATATCTCTAATACTCTATGATTGTTGATGTAGTATTGCAACATAGCAAAACTGTCTTAAAAAACTAGATCTAAATTAGAAAACCTTATTTCAGGAAGATCGTAAGTCTGGTCTCGCACTTGATGAATGCTTACTGTTTCCTTCAGTTCTTTGATGGACTTGTGGTGAGTCTTATAGTTTTTCTTGTCAGCACAACAACTACCTTTGCATTTAGCTACAAAAAGCATGTCAAATATAAAATATTGATCTAATCAGAACCAGAACAACCCCAATGGTGACTAATGGAGTAAGAGTGCATAATAATTAAAGATTTGTCTGTTTACATCCTAGTGTGTGTGCACAGGCATCTTCTTGGGCACAGGCAAACAGAAGATACCAGCTGTGGCTAATCTCATTGGATACTACGGCATAGGACTTTCACTGAGTGTTACTTTGATGTTCTTCGCAAAACTGAGAGTTCTAGGTATTTGCATGAATTGACCTTTTTTGTCATTTGAAAAAAGCAGTTTTAAGCAAATCCTGCTGTGCCCTTGACAGACTAATTTGTCTTTTTCTCCACAGGTTTTTGGCTGGGATTGCTCATTTGTGTCATTTTGCAATCTACCTTCTACATCATTGTCATCTTTAAGCTGAACTGGGAACAAATGACAGAGGAGGTATGCTAAGCTTCAGAATGTAGACATTAATTTCTAGAGAAATAAGTGCTGAGCTTTAAAAAGCAATTTGTTACATGTAAGAAAATTAGAAATTGGAAGTAGTTGGTTGTTTCTGCTTGTTTGCAGGCTGTGGACCGAGCACAGAAAAACACTCACATGACATTATTGAGCACAGATGTCCTGTCAGACGCTGCAGATAACAACACTGCTGACCAGACAGCAACTAATGGGAGTGTAAGTGGTTTGTTATTCCTAACACAAGCAATAATTAAATGAACATCCCTTTCATACTCAACCAAAAAGAGTAATGTAATAAATAAAGTGTCTTTCTCCCAAGTCAGTGGATGGCTACATGTCTGTGAGCACTGAGCACCCTGATGGGACCATGGAGACGCAGGTTGGACATGGGGTCCAGCAGCTGAAGGGTGGCCCTCTCTCCACCACCCAGCTGATCCTCAGACGAGGTCTTACTATGTTTGCAGCAGTTGCACTTCTGGTCGTGGGAGTGAGTGTGCACTTCCTCGTGCCCTTGCCCCAGACCCCGCTTTCAGAGGCCAACTTTACTTTGGACTGGATTAACACTACATATACTCCTGATCAAATCTTCCCCCATGCATTGGTCCCAAATGAAGAGTCAGATTGACTTTTACAGTCCAAGATAACCACAATGTTTCTGTTTAATGTATTAAATACAGAGGTTGTCAAACTCTCTTTAGTTTGACTCATTCTCTTTGGCAGCACGACAACACTAGCACGATTCACTAGAAAGTCTTGTGAATGAGTGGTTTGAGAATATTTTGCTTTGACACATCAAATCATTGGATCATTTCACTTTCTGTCTACTTTTTGCTCATCTGCACCTTTGCATTTCTTCAGCATGTCCTGCTTTGACAACCTGTAATGCCATCATCTGCATTTAACTGTGCCCTGGTGGCTAAGGAGTTTCTCCACTGAATACAACAGAATTGTCATGTTCATGTAACCAAGTTAGTGATGAGCAGATTAATAATGATTCCAGCAGCCAGGATGAATAACATGACAGCCAAAGCTAGGCCCCTACGCAGAACCAAAGTCCTGTAAGGGAGCTCCTCTTCCACTGCTGGTCCCTCCTCAGTTTCAGCCAGGTTCATGGTGTCTGTTTGTTCCTGTGAGTTCCCTGAATCATTTGGTTGGGGACCTGGACATACAAGTGCAAATGTGACTGTAATGTTTTCACAAAAAAATAATAAAAAAAATACTACATTGTGACTAGAATAACAAGATTCTATCTGGCATTGTTTTTGGTCAAAAATGAGTTATTCACATTAAACTATTCTTATTAACATTTTGTGTAGGTTTATTTTTAGATGTATGCATTAATAGAGTGTCAATAGTCCTTAGCTTTTGCAGATACTTAAAATGTGCTACATACATCATTTAGCATTATCAATGTACCACTTACAGTATAGTCTAGACTGGCTCCTGAGGAAGAGTGTCCCATGCTGAAGATGCTTTTAGAGGTATAAAATGCTTTAGTAGCTGCACAATCTCTTACTTGTGTTTGTGGAGCTCCCACACACTCCCGCTCTGATTTGAGCCTGGAAGAAAAACAATGTTTAATGTTTATTCATAAAGAAGTAGCCTTAGGCTTTCTAGAATGGGAAGATTTAACTCTGAATACCAACCTCGACTGTCACTTTCTTCCAGTTCAGTCTTACCAGGTAGAAAATCAGAAATGAGGACTGCAGAGCCACGCAGGTAAACAAGCCTGTCCACAGACCTGAGGGAAATAGAGAGTTTTACATCTTGCTTTAAAAATAGCGAGCAGATGTTGATGCTGTGGTGAAACTCTATCTTAAAAAAGACACTACTAGTTAGGTAACAATGTGTCAAAACAGCTGAAGGCTAAAAAACAATCTCTGCTGTAAATCTTACCCTTTATTCCTAATTTGGCTGCAAACATCAGTGGCACTCCAATAGGAAAACCAACACCATAAAATCCCAAAATGTTGCAAACAGCCCCAATTCTCTGTTTACCTGCTCCTCTTATAATGCCTCCGGAGGCAGCCTAGTCACACAAACATAATAAAGATGTGGTTAAACTTGACAAGAAACGCACACGGTATTGTTTTGCAAATGCAATAATACATGGGTATGTCACGAGATCCTAATTGGACAGAATGACAGAGGTACTTACTGATACTGCATCTAGGAGGACAAATGGAGCATAAAAAGATATAACGTCAGCAACCCTTTCCCTAATTTGTCTGAAAGAAGAGTGACTCAAAATGTTTAGTTTGACATGAGAAATGACAATAACATTTTTAGATTTTTGCACTGTGACATATTATATTATCCTAGCATTGTTGACCAAAGAGGAATCAGTAAATTGCCATTAACCACAGTGATGCTACTGAGTGCGACTGTCAGGAGCCTTGACCTCAAGTTAATATGTAAAGGAATATGGGTTCGCAAAGTTCAGTTTATTGTGTAAGCAATAACTAAAATAATGGTGAAAGGTCATTTAAAAGACCTGTTAGCTCTCTCAGACTTGACACTGACTCTGTATGTGTTAACATTCAATGACAAGTAGCAGTGACCATGTAGCAAATTGGCAGGGTCAAACTTAGTTTAAGCGTCAAGTTAAGTGCAAGGGACTGGCAGGGGCTGGGGGCAAACTGGAGTTTAAACAGCCTCATGTATGAAGGTTGCCTTCCTCCGGTTACTTGTAGCTCCAGGGCAGTGCAGATGCCTGTCAGAGGGAGGCCATCTGAATGCCTCTTGTTGGACATGGGGCTTTAGAATGGCTGCCCTCTGGCAGGTGTCAGTGCTAACATAACACACACTGGGAAAAGACACCTTTGTAAAATAACTTATTTTATAAAGGTAATAAATACAATTGTTGTTACAAACACATACGTTAAGGATAACCACACTGATTCTACTCAGCGTAACTGAGCACAACTGTGAGGAGCGTTAAGTTAAAGAATATGGGTCGCAAAGTTCACCGTTTACTGTGTAGGTAATAACTGACATGATGGTGAGGTCACGTGAGACATATTATCTCTCTCACACTTGACATTGACTCTGTATGTGTTAACACACCCTGGGAAAACACTGTGTTATTTTAAGGTAATAAATACAAATGTGGTTACAAAAACATATGTTACACACATACTCACTCATCATATGTAAAGACATAAGAGATATGGTCCTTCAGGCCCCCGATGAAAACCGACAAACATAGAGAGACTGACACTGTGATAAAGAGTAACAGACTTAATTATCTATCAGTTGTAGCATTCAGAAGGTGATGAATTGATTCCTTTTCTGTAAATGCAATATATTCACACAAAGGACAATCACAGTCCCCTATTATCGGCCAGTGAGTAGCTCTGCTGGAGCAGCTTGGGAACTTAATGCTTAAGTGGATGATAAAGGAGGTGAAAGTATGAAATTAGATTTATATGATAATAATTCTGGTCTTATCGTCTTCAATATGTGTCATGTTAATAAGAGTTGAACATATAGCACAGAAATAGTATTTAAGAGCATACTGACCTGCACAGAACATGGTCAGTTTCGCAGACAGCTTGGCCTGCTCTGTGTCTCCAGCTCCCAAGGCATTTCCAACTCTGACATTGCCTGCTATACTGAAACCCAAAGGGAACTAATAAAAAATACACTACATTAACATGGTGCTACACCACATGAATAAATAGTTGAATTATTTCACACAATAACTACTTGATTTGTATTCAGTATTTGGTAGATAAAATATTATTTCATATAAGGGAAATTACCATGTATGCAACATTTGCCAGTTCGTATACAACTGATTGAGCTCCAAGCTCCACCTCACTTATTAGACCTGTAAATAACAACAAACAGCTGTTAGACTTTAGATGAGCTTTAGTTCACACAAAAGCTTTAAAACCACAAAGAGGATACTAAAGCAACATTACCTGCCAGAAAACTTCCAATCTCATACGTCCACCACTCAACACACAACATGATCATGCTGGGGATGGCCAAGTGGATGTATGAGCGCCAGTCCCGCAGGCACTCTTTAGACCATCCTGTGCAATTAAATAATTAATCAATAAATCATTCAATTACTCAGTCACTTCATCAATCAGTCTACATGTCCATCTACAACACAAAATTAGTTTTACTTCAAAGAATGTAATGCGTGTAGAATTTACATCTAGCGGTGAGGTTGCAGATTGCAACTAACTGAATACTGCTCGCATCAGTATTTGACGACCTGAGAATGAGAACGGGCTGTGAAACACGTGAAAATGTCCTATCTGCAGCCAGTGCTTGGTTTGTTTGTTCTGGGTTACTGTAGAAACTATAACTAGTAGAAATATTATATTCCATTTCTGACAATAGATGTTCAGGCTGATGATTTGATTTAAAATCTACTACATATTCTTGGATTTCTTAAATGGGAAAGCAAAGAAGAGACCGAAACCTGTGGTCAGATAATTGTTTAGTTCAGACTTCAGTTTAGTGACACGAGCTGGTGAAGACTTCCATCTGCATAAATGCCCTCAGGATATCCAATATGGAAAACATCTTATACTGTTGTTGAGAATTCTATTTGTTTTCCAAAGCTCAGATATTTGCTTTACTCTTTTAAACTTTCCTCTATCAGATAAAGTAAAGTATTTTTATACATTAAAATGGAGGAAGAGGTGCAGTTATTGCTCTTTCTGACAACATATTGTACACACAGCCTTAAATGAATAATGGTCTGTTTCCGATGATGGGTGGTTATTGTTTTCTTGAAACACCTTTAAGACAGTCTACAAAATGTTTTGTTTTCCAGTCAGATAGCTTAATACAAGAGTATTAGAAATGACAAAATAGTCTGGAATCACTACATACTTATGCATTTATTAATATAAAACTTTGTTCAATCACTTCAAAAACTCAGAGTCTTGACTCCGGAGCAACAACTTTATGGAACCACAACCCTACCACTCAGAGTTTTCTTTATCGCTGTAGTACCTCATTAACACACGCTGAAGGAAACAACTGATTATATGCCAGGTCACTCTACTCCAATGCAAAAGTTGTACTCACCTCCCCAGGTGTTCTTATGAAGACCTTTCCAAATGATATAAGCATAGAGAACGGCAGCCATGGAGAACTGGGAAAGGGTGTTGGCAACAGCAGAACCTCTGTAAAGAGTATTTTGTTGCTTGATGTTGGTTATTTGAATTAACCAATGATGATGTTACTGAAAGACTGATGTGCAGTTCAACGAGCAATACTCACGCTACTCCTAGTTTTAATGGGTAAAGAAAGATGTAGTTGATAAGAGCGTTAAGAATATTGACCACAAAGCCTGTGATTACCTGTGGCCATATGATGCCCTGAAAGAGACGTGGCACATGTTATTCTTATTGGACACTGGTGAAGTGAGAACCCAAAAATGACTGCAGTAGATCCTTGAAAAGCTAGTTTGGGCCTGAAAAGGCAGCAGAATCTACCGTACAGAGTTTAGCCTCAGCACCTGGACAAGAAATGTGTTTTGCGCACTTACTGATTTTACAAAATCAACAAACACAAAATAAAATAAAAAAGTTGAATCAAATGGAGGCTTATGGTTTCATAAACATTTATTTTAAGGTCAAGAAGTCCTGACCTGATTGCCATCTGAATTGAGACAATACACACTGTATTCACATCAACATGCAGCCTGGAGCAAAATAAAAACAGGGATGACTAAAAGAATGTTCCTGTTTG